CGAAGCTAAAAAGTTGGGATTTTAAATGGAATGTTTTCTGACAGTTCTGGTGGCCAATCTTAATTTGTTCAGCTAAAAGCATTTGCCGAAAGAACCGGTACCGGTAGCAACAGATACTGCGGGGAACCATGCAAAAAACGCATCTTCGCACGGGCAGCCCGTGCGTTGGCCAATTATTTTTTCTTACAAAACAGAACAATTCGAGCTTGCTTCCTCCCTCTCTCTCAGGGACAAAAAAAAAAAAAACAACAAATCACCTCAAAAGCATGAAAGAACTGCTTTTTGATTAAACCAAAATACTTCATCTCTTCCATACCACTCGGTTTTTTAGCCAACGTACGTGATAAATTCATTGTAAACACTACGTTACTGAAACAATCTGGACCTGAAAAAAAGTACAGATTTATTGGTCGTATATTTACAAAACCGAATATGTAAAAACTGCATTTTGTTGCTCCCGGTCAATAAGGTATCGTAAAATAACGTTCAAAGCAAAATGGTAATTAATAACACACTATACCACGAATATCTTCAGACGGCAAGAATCCTACTAGGAACCCCGCTTTTACTTTTTTCTTGACGAAAAATCCACTGAGGTAGTAATCTCTTCTGAGACGGCTCACTTTTCAGGCTTAGCCACTGATAAACGTTTCCCGAATCCGCAAGTGTTTTTCTTCAACCAAGAGGAACTGGACAGATGGGCACGGCCCTCCAGATCTGACATTTTGAGATTACCAACGATAATATTATACAGTTTGAGGATATCGCCGATTATGCGGGGAAGGAAAGCCCAAAACAAAGGATGGAGAAGTTGTGAAATGTATCAGTGATACGGATTATAAAAGAGCCGAGAAAAGTATCAAAATAGGTATGGGGAAAAATGAAGACTGAGAAATGATAAATGTACCTTCAGTTATTGCAGTTATTAGATTGGATATTCCGAACTCATCCAACAAGAATAGCATCGTCTGACGAATTCCCAAAGCTTTCTGAAAAATATTATTAAAACAGGCAGTTAAAAAATCCAAATTCATTAAATATATGTGGCGAGAGGAAGATACTTCACTAAGAAATTAAGAAAAAAAAAATTCCTAACTTTCATGTAAATGCCCAAAAATTTGTTGTTAAACACATAGCATGATTTATAGGGCAGCATACAAGACATGAATAGGAATGTTTCAATCCATCAATTTGATAAAATGCTAGAATGAAATAATAAGACTGAAGTTGAACATTAAGCCATACCGTCATCCATACGGGCTGTTTCCTGGCCAGCATACGGAACAGCATCAACATGACAGTTGGCCTGAAAAAAAAGCGAAATAGAAGAAATTTCAGAAACACTTCTTTCTATGTTTAGGATCGAAGTAACGTTTTGTAAAGCAAACTTTCGAGCCCCCGTGTAGCATGACTAACATGAAGGCAAGCATTTTACTATGCGATTCTTGTTAAGATAATAGTATATATATATATATATATATATATATACATATATAATAAAGTGTGCCTGCAAATCATAAACAAATAACGGGACGCCCCAGGTATTCAGTATTTGGCTCAACTGAGGGGAAACACAAGCCAAATACGGGAGGAAAAGCCCAAAATTAACAGGAAAGAAGGGAGGAGGAGATGAGGGAGCGATAAGACGATAACAGGATAAACTGGTAAAACAGAACCTTCGGAATGTGTATGCAATAATTTTCTTATATTTCGCTTCCATTTTCCGTTCACCAAGCTTAATCAACTGAAACACATAAAAGCAGTCAGTATTCACAAAAGAATTACCTGTTTTATAAAACAGCTGCAAATGTGTCTAAGACAAAGAGTCAGAATCGCCTTCCATCTACTTATCGGTGCAAATCCCACAAGAAACTATCCAACCCCCGCCCCGCCCCGCCCCTCCTCCTCCTCTTCAAACAGGCGGCTGCTGTTGGGAAAGTACCATCATTCGGGCCAATAAAACTTAAAATAAATGCTAATTCAGAGCTGCTTTTTTAGCGATGCAGCCAACAATTTTTCCAATCACCTCAACCAAATCTTATCAACTGCTGCTCAACCTGTAGTGTTTTTGATGTTCGTTTTGCCTTCTTATGAAATTCCAAGTTCACCCCCCCCCCCCCCCCCCCCCCCCCCCCCCCCCCCCCCCCCCCCCCCCCCC